TTTGAAGACTCTCTTGGTTGCTTCCAGTTTGGGGTGATTATGAATAGAGGTGCTATAAGTATTTGCATGCAGGTTTTTGTATGGATGTATGTTTTCAATTCAACTGGGTAAATACCTAGTGGTGTCATTGCTGGATCATATGGTAAGATTACGTTCAGCTTTGCAGGAGACCTCCAAGCTGCCTTCCCAAGTGGTTTTACCATTTTGTATTCTCACCAAGTTCCAGCTGCTCCCCATCCTTATCAGCATTTGGTATTGTCAGGTTTGTGTGTGTGTGTGTGTGTGTGTGTGTGTGTGTGTGTTGCCATTCTAACAGGTATGTATTGGTATCTTATTATTATTTTAATTTGCAATTCCCTAATGACATATGATGGTGAGCTTTTCCTATGCTTATTTGCCATCTGTATATATTCCTTGATGAGCTGTCTTTTCAGATCTTTGCTATTTAATTGAGCTGTTTCCTTTTGATTGAGCTTTAAGTATATGTTGGATAACAGTCCTTTATTAGATATATGTTTTACAATTATTTTCTCCCAATCTGTAGCTTGTCTTTTCATTCTCTTAACAGTATCTTTGACAGAGCAGTTTTAAATTTCAATTAAATCCAACTTACCAACATATTCTTTCATGGATCATGCTTTTGGTGTTGTATCTAAAATCTCATTACCAAATCCAAGTTCACATAGATTTTTTTTCCTATGTTACCTTCTAAAAGTTTTAAGTTTGGCATTTTATATGTAAGTGCATGATCCATTTTGAGTTAATTTTTGTGAAATATGTAGGCTCTCTGTCTAGATTTATTTATTTTGCTTATGGATGTCCAATTGTTCCAGCACCATTTGTTGAAAAGTTTATCTTTTCTCCATTGAATTGCCTTTGCTCCTTTGTCATGGATCAGTTGACCATATTTGTGTGGATCTATTTCTGGGCCCTCTATTCTGTTCCATTGATCTATTTGTCTATTCTTTCACCAATATCACACTGTATTGATTACTATAGCTTTATAGTAAATTTTGAAGTTGGATAGTGTGAGTTCTCCAACATTGATCCTCTTCAGTGCTGTATTGTCTGTTCTGGGTCTTTTCCTTTCTATATAAACTGTAGGATCAGTTTGTTGATATTCACAACATAGTTTACTGGCATTTTCATTGGGATTCTATTGAACCTATAGGTCAATTTGGGAAGAATCAATTTCTTGACAATATTGAACCTTCCAACCCATTAAACACAGATTATCTTTCCATTTATTTGAGAGCTCCATGTTTTGCATATAGATCTTGTGTATATTTTGTTAGATTTATACCGAAGTATTTCCTGTTTTGGGTGCTACATAAATGGCATTGTGTTTTAATTTTAAAGTTCAGTTGTTCATTGCTAGTATATAAGAAAATAATTGACTTTTGTATATTGACCGTGTTTCTACACCTTGCTATAATCACTTCTGAGTTCCAGAAGTTTTTTGATTTATTTTTTTGAGTTTTCCATACAGACAATCATGTCATCTGCAAACAAAGATGGTTTTATTTTATCCTTCCTAATCTATATATCTTTCATTTCCTTTTTTTTTTTTTTTTGGTCTTATTGCACTAGGTAGAACTTCCAGTACAGTGTTGAACTGGAGTGGTGACAGGGGACATTCTTGCCTTCTTCCTCATCTTACCGGGAAAGCATCCAGTTTCTTGCCACTAAGTATAACGTTATCCATAGATTTTTTTTTTGTAGATATTCTTTATCAAGCTGAGGACGCTCCCCTCTAGTTCTAGTTTGATGAGAGTTTTTATATGAATTGGTGTTGGACCTTGTGAAATGCTTTTTCTACATCTATTAATATGATCATATGATTTTTCTTCTTTAGCCTCCTGATATGATTGGTTACATAAATTGGTTTTTAGTTGTTGAACCAATCTTACATACCTGGAATAAATTCCATTTGGTCATGGTATACAATTCTTTTTGTACATTGTTTAATTCCATTTGCTAATTTTTTGTTGAAAATTTTTGCATTTATGTTCATGAGAGATATTGGTCTAGAGTTTCTCTTTCTTGTAATGTCTTCATCTGGTTTTGGTATTATTGTAATGCTGGCCTCAAAAAAAATGAGTTCTGATGTGTTCCCTCTGCTTTTACTTTCTGGAAGAGATTATACAGAATTGGTATCATATCTTCCTTAAATGTAGACTTCACAGTGAAAGAATCTGGGCTTTGTGCTTCCTTTTTAGGAAGGTTATAAATTATTGATTCAATTTTTAAAAACAGATATAGGCTTATTCAGATTATCTATTTCTTCTCATGTGAGTTTTGGTATAGTTTGTGCCTTTCAAGGGATTAGCCTATTTCATCAAAGTTATCCAAATTTGTGAGCATAGAATTATTTATATTTTTTTCTTTTTATGTCCATGGGATCAGTAACGATGACTCCTTTTTCTTTTCTCATATTGGTAATTTGTGTTCTCAATATTATTTTTCTTGCTTAGCTTGCTAGTGGTTTATTAAATTTATTGATCTTTTCAAAGAACCAGCTTTTGATTTCATTAAGTTTCTTATTTGATTTTCTGTTTTTAATTTCATTGATTTCTGCCTTTTTATAATTTCTTTTCCTTTGTTGTGTAGCTTAACTTATTCTTCTTCCTTCAGTTTCCTAAGGTAGATGCTTAGATTACTGATATCAGATCTTTCTTCATTTCTATTGTATGCATTTAATGCTATACATTTTCCTCTAAGCACTGCTTTTGCTGCATTCCACAAATATTTGATATTTTTTCATTTTCATGTAATTCAAATTATTTTTTAATTTCTCTTGAGTCCTCTTTTTTGACTCCTGTTATTTAGTATTATGCTATTTAATCTCCAAATATTTGGGAATTTTTCCAGCTTTCTGTTATTGGTTTCTAGTTTAATTTTTGTGGTCTAAGAGTACATAGTTGACCCTTGAACAACATGTGGGTTAGTGGCACCAACCCTCCCCCACCTCCCCACAGTCAAAAATCTGTACGCAACTTAAGTTGGCCCTCCGAAATAAGTGGATTCTCAACCAAGGATGGCAAATATTGTTTTCAATCCACAGTTGGTGAATCCATAGACTCAGGGATACAGAGGGTTGACTGTATATTTATTGGGGGAAAACCCCCAAAACTGTGTATAAATGGACTCACGAACTTTAAACCTGTTTTTTCAAGGGTCAACTTAACTTGTATGATTTCTGTTTTTTTAAATTTGTTTTGGTGTGTTTTATAGCTCAGAATGTGGTCTATATTGGTTAATGTTCAATGTAAGCTTGAGAAGAATGTACTAGTATACTCTCCTGCTATTGGATGACTTATTTTATAAAGGCAATTAAAGTAAGTTGATCAATGGTGCTGTTCATGTCAGCTATATCCTTACAATTTTCTGCCTGCTTGATCTACCCATTATTGAAAGAGGGTGTTGAAAGAAATCTTCAAATAAAATGGTGCAAATGTCAATTTCTCCTTGTAGTTTTATCAGTTTTTTCTCATACATTTTGATGTGCTGTTGTTACACACATATACATTAAGAATTGTTATGTCTTCTTGAATAACTGACCCCTTTTATCATTATGTGAGGCCCTCTTTATATCCCTGATAATTTTCCCTGTTCTAAAGTCTGCTTTGTCTGCAATTCACGTAGCTTAATACACCTTTCTTTTTATTAGTGTTAGCATGACATGTAGTTCTCCAAATCTGTACTTTTAACCTGTCTGTCTTCTTATATTAGTGAGTTTCTCCAGAAATTCTATGTTAGGTATTCCTATTTTGCAGATAAGGAAACCATGGTTAAGATATATTTAAGAAGATTTTCTTTGATATGAGGGCATAATTAATGAGGTTTGATTCTAGTCTCCTTCATTAAAAAAAAGTTATCCAAGTACAATATAGAGGGTGTTTATTTTAATTGACAAGACAATGGAGACATGGCAGTAAATTGATGCATTTGTTTAAAAAAACAAAAAACAAAAATCAGGTTCCTCTTTCTAAGTAAAATGTTCAAAATTGCCTAAACTTAAGTGTTATACAGAACTCAAAGGCATTCCCTTAGACCCTGTGCTACAGAGAAAGTAATTTTTTTATGATGGATTAAAAAAAAAAAAAGAAATACTGGTCTAAGCTAGCATATGTCACAGGCAAACCTTCTTATACAATGACCAGTTCAAGACCCAGAACCATGTAGAGTGCTAATTAAGGACCTTCTCCCTTTGCAACTTTTCTCCATTTAGGCCAAACTCAAGTCTCAACTATTGGTTATCAAAATGTGGACCATCAGCACTACTTGGGAATTGTTAGACATGTGAATTATCAGGCCTTATTGAATCAGAAGCCCTGGGAGCAGGACCTGAGAACCTGATTGAACAAGCTCTCCAGGTGAGTCTGAAGCACCCTAAGGTCTGAGAACCACTGCGCTAAACATTGCAAATGCAAGCCCTCAAGTACAACAAGGCCAAGGGGATGACTCTGAGGCCGTGAGATGGCAAAGTTCTAGTGGATATGGGATTGGTGGGACTGGTCTGTGAAAATGGGATGGTGCTCTGAGTGGCTGAGATCGGTGCAGTGTGTGCAATAATAAACTTCCATGGATATGCAAACCATCAGCTCCAAGACAGCTTATTGCTATTGAAACAACCAGCCTCAACCTTTTGTTTCTGCTATGCCTCATTCTCCTTCCCTGGACCATCGGCGGAAGTTGCTCATGCACAAAAGGAAAATTGGTTTCCTTAAACCAGGGCTTCTCAACCTGGGCACTAGTGACATTTTTGTCTTGAGGAGCTGTTCTGTGCATGTTGAACAGCAGATGCAAGTAGCAAGTCCCACTGAGGTGTAAGGATAAAGAATGTTTCCAGACGTTGCTGAATGTCTCCTGGGGGCAAAATTGCACCCATGCACCCAGCTGAGAACCACTGACTTAAACGCCATTTCCTTCAAAGTGGTGAAACAGGAGGGAAGTGGCAGCATGAGAGCAGGCTTCCAGTAACCCCCAGGGCGACTCACGTTGTAGGACCGGCCATGCCTCTTTCTCCACTGCACCAGCACTATCTGCGCGATGATTAGGATGCAGAGGAAGATCAAGATCATCTCCACATGCATGGACTCGTGGCCCCGGTGCATCTTGTACATCCTTTCTTGCTGCAGGCTGGAAGCGGCAAATGAGGTCATGTGAAAAAGGCCTCAACCTTTGCACATTTAGCAAAAAAAATAGGCTGGGCTCATAGGGAGCAATTGGAGAGTTCACATGTAGGTTTTTTTAAAGCGTTGACTGCAAAGTTTTTCTAAGTTTTTCTAGATTCCCCCCTTTCCCCTAAGCTTGGGGGAGGGGCAGCTGAGAGGAGGAGCCTGAGTTTATCAGCAAAACCAATTCTTCTCAGCCCTTAGCTTTCTGTGTGGTTTCGGCCTTAGCCTTGTCCTTTTAAGTTAAATGGTTCTTGATGGGCCCTGGAAAGACCTGGTTTCAGTCCTTGATCTGCAACTTCATCACCATATAGTCTTTCAAAAGTCAGTTACGGTCTCTGAGCCTCAGTTTCCTCACTTGCAAATTTAAAATAATGATCCCTCCATACCTCACAGGATTGCTCTAAAACTGCAAAGCACATATGATATTTTATTTGTCCCTCCATGAGGAATAATAATAATTATTAGGTTGGATCATGTGAAATTGGTAATTTTGAAAGTTAAAAATAGTAAAATATTGGTAATTTCAATTAATTTCTAATATTCTCATGTATAGGATATCCTGCAGATGGAGCCTATGGAGGGAATATTATCCACGGGGCTACAGAAACCTCCTGAATGAAATGTATAAATTGTTTTCATTATAAGGAGAAAGAAGAGGCCTAAGTATTAGAGAGGCCACACATTCAGATGATGACTGTTTCACTTTTTAATCAGACTTTTAGTTTTGCACAATGGGAAAGAAAATCACTAAGATAGTATGTCATCTGGTTTAACTTCCTATAGCAGAAGTGACCTTGAAGAAGCCTAGAGCAGTGGGTCTTGACCTTGGCTGCAAGTTAAAATCACTGGGAAGATTTTAAAAATCGCAGAGCCCAAGCTGTACCCCAGATCGATTAAATGATCAATTCAATGCCCATATCAATTAAAAACACTATTGCTGGGTGTTATGGGCTGAATTGTGTCTCTCTACCCCCGAATTCATATGTTGAAGTCCTACCCATCCATTACTCAAAATATTACTGTACTTGGAGATAGGGACCTTAAAAGGTAATTAATGTAAAGTGACGTCATAGGTGTGGGCCCTAATTGAATCTAACTGGTGTCCTTCTAAGAAGAGGAGATTATGAAACAAACTCACACAGAGGGAAAACCATGTGAAGACACAGTGAGAAGGTGGCCATCTACAAGTCAAGGGGAGAGGCCTCAGAATAAAACAAAAACCGCCGACACCTTGATCTTGGACTTCTAGCCTCCAGAACTATGAGAAAATAAATTTCTGTTGTTGAAGCCTCTCAGACTGTGGCATTTTGTTATGGTATTCTGGCAAACTGATACAGATTTCTAGGAGGGGATTTAGGCATCAGTAATTTTTAAAGTTCCCCACCCATGTGGTTTTAAGATGCAGCCAAGATTGAGAACCACAGGCCTAAAGGATGAAAGAGTGGTCCAAAATCAAGATTAGGAAAGAAGGGGGAAATTATGAATACTTCCAATCAATTACTTTATAAATATTCATTAGCTTCATCTTTCATCACCAGTGGGGCACCGTCAGTCATAAACATCTCTTATTAAAGTTGCCACGTATGACTGTATGCATTTGGTTAGAGCACCAATCAGAAAATACTGCAGAGTAACATTCTGTGCCACAAGATTGTGACCTTTCAAAGCACGTGTGTATGTGGTTGGGTTCTCTTTACGAGCATTTCTACAGAGCTACTGTGAAGAGCAGAGAAGTACCTCAGAAACGGGCCCCATCCAAATCCCCGGGGTGCCCCCTGCTGGAGAACATGCAGAAATGAGCCCACAGAGTAAATATTCCTGCTTGAGTTCAGCTTCTTTGAGATGGAATCTTGGAATGTCAGCACTGCAAATGATCATAGATGTACTGAAACTTTTATTTATCAAATGAAGACACTGAAGTCCATATCAGGTAAGCAACCTGAATAAAATTACATGGCTCTTAGTCCCTGTGTTGGAAGCTGAGCTTGGGAGATAAGAATGATTTCTAAAAGCTCATTAAAAAATACACTCATTCCTCTGAAGAACTGGAAAGTGAAGAAAAAGAAAATGGTACAAGAATTTAGTTATAGTTTTTATAGCCCCAAATCCAAAATAATTATTTAATATTCTATGTAATGAATAGACTTTCAACTTAGGCCATATAGATAGAGGAGTAAATCTATCATCAGTCCAAAATAGAGGGGTTGTATAGATATAAAACAAAATATGCTTTATGATATTAACCTATTTTATGTATGTATATTGAAAGTTCATCTCAAATGGTTAACCTATGTGGAAATACTGTGGAAAGTATAAAGTAGCATGCAAATGCAATAAGTATTTCCTACTTTGATTAGGAATACATTCATAATTGATTACCATAATGCAAAAAAGGAGGAGCTTTTCATTTTTATTTCATTTCATGTGATGCCCACAGAGATCCAATGGCCCCACAGTAGGTAGCAGAGCACAGAGGGAACAGCATATAAAGAAAACCAGATGTGTCTTGTGCCTAAAATAAATAATAAGTTAACACTGCCTTATTTTGAAGGACATATAAATCCAGCTTTTTGGGATTGCACAGAGCGTACTGTGGTTTTGGTCTATACTACCTTTGTGCGTGCCTCTTTACGCTAACCCACATTTTCTATCCTGGGAAATTTACAGATAAAATGATGGCTTCATTTCATTTCTAAAACAGTTAAGATGGAAATCTAATTTTTATTATAATGTTGATTAAAAAAAATACTAATCACTTACTTCCACTCATCATCCACGGAAAGCTTTGTGTGAGAGATCTGAAAAACATAAAACGAGACCTTCTCAAAATGTCCCTGTTTTCTTAGCTTCTTTTTTATAGTATTACATGGGAAACCCAAACCATGAACGATAGTAATGTTTCCTAGTACTGGAATAATTTAGGATGAAAGTCCTAAGAAAATGTTTGATTATTGAACTAACACACACACACACACACACACACACACACACACACACACACACACGCGCGCGCCAAAACAAAACAGTAATCAGGTCACTATTAATAAATGTTTGAGAACAAAATGAGGCTCCATTCAGTCAAGGTTGTAGAGAGTGGCCCCTGGCTTTTGGGATATGATGTGTAAATCCAAGAACCTCTAAAAATCATGTTTTGCTGATATCTTAAGTGATGCCAATGAGTAAATATCATCTCTAAGTTCAAGGTTTTAGATACAAAGCCCACCAGAGGATCTCCTTGTTTGGAGCATTTTTGTGTCCTCCTGTTAATTTAATTTAAAGCCTGGCCCCAGGGAAGGGGGTAATCTGGCCACGCCCTTGCAGACTGAGCTGGAGAGCACAGAGACCACCCAGGGAGTGCCTTTGGATGACCTACAGAGTGTACCCCTGTGCTGTCATCCCTTGATCATTGTTAATCCACTATATTTGGCCATCTGAAAGCTAAAAACCAATCATTATGCAGTCACCCAAGAGTCTGCAGTCACCCGGATTTTAATTCAGTAGGTTTGGGGTAAGGACTGAGACTCTGCATTTATAATTGGCTCCCAGGTAAACACCTTGGCTGCTGGTCTCTGAATCACAAAGCTTTGCTATAGGGAATTAAGGGAAAAGACGTGAGCCCCTCCTAGGGCGGAGTTAACAGAGGGACCACGCCCCCTGAGGGCAGAAGGCAAGGCAGTGATGGCAGCCTCAACGGAGAGCAAATGGCAGCAGCAAAAAGTGACTTCCGCCCCTCCTGGTGTGCAGAGCTCTTCATCCATGACCCCTTTGGATGATCTCGGTTTAAAACCAGCAAGGAAGCCATGGAGCTTCCTTTTAGCTTCCCCATTTTAGAGAATAAACCTCAAATTCATAGTGTGTTCTACAAGGCTCACTCTCCTTTATTATTCACTGCAAACCTTCATGAACCCTGGATTTATGTGAGCCATAGTGCATACCCCCTCCCCACCTTGCATTTCCCCATGACCACCCCCAACATTCTTTTTCACCTCCAAGCAGTTTGGCCTGCAGTCACCTTCACCTAGAATTCTCATTTCCCCTCATCACCAGGCGGCCAGATCTCATCACCAGGCCCAGCTCAAATGCCCCCCATCAGTTTTACCCATCCCCCTGCCAAGAGCAATTCCTTGCTTCTTAGAAATCTTACACAGCTTCATTCGAAACTGTTTTGGAGAGAGTCATCTCTTCCTACTCTGAGTTATTTTTGTCCTGTTTTACCTTCCTTCCAGGATGTGAGCTCCCAGAGGAAAGGTCCACTTCTAATTGCACCCCCCCCTCGCCCCCAAACACACACATACGCCATGAATAGCACAGCTCCTGGTGCCTGGTCATGCCCCAAGAATTGTCCTATGAATGAAAAATAAAGGATTGGGTTTGAAATCACCACCAGCATAAGGAAGGAAGTGCTAGTCCAGTGGTCCCCAAAGCTCGAGCATCGACGCCTCCTGGGAATAGTTAGACTTGCAAAGGCTCAGGCCCTATCCCAAAGGCGAGGAATTAGAAATCCTGAGGGCAGAGCCGTCTGCGTTTCAGCCAGCCCTCCGGAGTGATTCTGATGCACGCTTCAGTTTGAGAACCCTAGAATCAAGCCTGGTGTCCCCCATCATCCCTCAGCGTCTGCCTTCTTCGCCCTGGGCCTTCGCCTAGGCCCTGGAGGCTTTTGCCCGGGAGGGAGGAGGAGAAAGGGGTGGCCAGCAGGAGCCGCAGGGAATGGACAGGGATGAGCCGGTTAAGGAGAGGGTGGCGAAAGAGGGAGGAAAAAGAAGGGAGGAGGAAAGGTGGGCAGGGGAGGAGGAAGAAAAGAGGGAGAGGAAGAGAAATGGAGGGGAGTGCAACTTCCCCGGGGCGGGGCGGGGTCGGGAGAAGCCACCAGCATCCTGGGCCGGCTCACACCGCTTGGGGGCGGGGGACTTGGCCGTTTGTCTTTGCGGCCGCCCAGGCCCGCGTGAGCCTTAGGATCCCCGCCCCGTGTGCCCTCGGCCTGGGCCCAGCTCTCTGTACCTGCTCGTGCTGTGGGGGCACCTCCAGCGCGGGGGCCGCCTTGCCCGCCACCCCCGCGGCCATGCCTCCGCCACCCCGCGCAGCGGGCCGGCTGGGTCTCCGGGAGTCAGCAGATGGGGCGTCCCTCGGACTCGCGAGCCGCGGGTGGGAGCTGAGCTTGCGGCGGCCGAGCGGGCGGCCCCGCCCCGGGCAGTGTGGTGCGGGCGCGGGGAGCCTCGCTGCGCGCCCGCCCCTTGGCCCTCCGCTCGCGCTCCAGAGGAGGGATGCTCACGAGCGTCATCACCAGCACGGCTGATGAGACCCTTTGGGTTTCGGGCCCCCCTGGAGCGGAGCAGTTGTCAGCCATCATCGCTAATAAAACGTCCTGCGCGCTGGGCAGGAAGCAGCGGTTTTGTTAACCAGGTGACAGGTCTGGAGGACGGCTGAGGTAGGTAGGAAGAGATGTGGGGAGCACGAAGAGTGAAAAATGGAGATGAGAGAGGGGGCGAGGAAGAGAGATCGTCCCCCCCCCCCAGCTCTGTCCCCCAGCAGCGTTTCTCAGAAGACAAGAGTTGAGGTCCAAAGGCGGGGAGACTCAACCCCTGCTGCGTCCGCAGTCTTGTTCCTTTCCCTGGGCCGCTGTCCTCTCCTTCCTCAGGTTTCTGCAGTTTTAATCATGTGGGGCAGCTCCCTGGTAAAGGCAAACTTGGCCTCTCCAAAGATGACGAAGCCGAGAAACTGCTGTGGAAAGAGAACACACACCCTCTTGGCCCCTGTGCCACTCTGGAACGTGCACTTCACCCACAACTTGCCTTTGTGCCCTCCGCTTTCAGGGGACACTCTCTGTTAGTCTCAGGCCCAAGACTGGACTCATGGCTGGGAACAAGCTGGAACCCTTGGGAAAGGCTTTAGGAATACTTGGGTGTCACCATAAGCCAATAGACAAAGCGGGGACACACAGTTAGATAGTCTGACTTACACATACTGCTTACTCCATTCCAGTGATGGCTTGTGTTTTCAACACCTACAAGAAGCTCCCTGTGGAGACTGATTAGCAGATGGAAGTGTCCCTGCCAGCCTAGCTGCTGTAGAGACAAACATCCAGTACAATCTATTGTGGTAAGTGCTTCCTGTTCCAAATACTTCACCTGTGTTAATTCATTCAGTCCTCATAACAACCTGGTGAGGTAGGTGGTGTTACTGTCCCCATCTTACACATGAGAACACTGAAGCACAGAGAGGTACGGAAGTTTGTCCAAGTTTCAAAGCTAGTAGGTGGTGCAGGGGGAATTTAAACCCAGAGAAGACTGACTCCATGGTCTGGGCTCTTTGCCACTCAGGAAAGTGGTTGCAAAGATCATCAGGGGCCAGATTCAGAAGATCTGTGTAAATCATATTAAACAGTTTGGAGCATAGCCTAAGGAGAATGGGAAGCCATTACAGAGTGGTTAGCAAGAAAAATGACATTGCTTGACTTGCCTTGAGGGGGCTTCAATCATGATCCAAGACGGGGACCAGTTAGAAAGCTATTGCTGTAGTTCCAGCTAAAGGTGGCAATGGCCTTGGTGGTGTATGTGAATGTGTGCAGGGATGGGGTGGAGGGAAGATGGAGCAATGTGGATGAAGCCTAGTGATGCAGGTGATAGAATCTATAAGACTTAACTGATCTTCAAGGATGGTGCCCAGGCATGTGGTTGGAGCAGCGTGGCATTTGGGCAGATGGTGTTGTCATCCCTGAGAATGGGGATATCAAAAGAGCAGCAGATTTGGGGGGACCAAGATGATGAGTTCATTTGGACATGTTGCCTCCCAACCTGACTTCTGGCCTGTTTTCATGTGGCAAAGACCACTTTTTCTTTCTGGCTCAGGATGTCCTCAAATTCTTCTAGATTCTGTTGCCTGTCCTCCTCCCCCACCTCCAAAAAAGATCCAGAATTTTCTTTTCCTATAAAATTCTGGCCTGTTATCATTATATAAGTTTTGGCTCCCTGATATGAGACTCTTCCCTGGTTGACTGACATCAGAAATGTCCACATATTTCACTGGAGACACATATAAATACAAAGGTAGTCATCCTTCTTCTGGCTTCAGCTCAACGGTCATAAGAGAATAAAACTGAAAAAGTCCAATTCATCCCCATCGATAGTGATGGATTTGCTCTACTCTATTTTCCTCTCATATTGGATTCCTTTTGTGACCAAATTTCTGATGGCCAGAGCCAATCTCTTGTTCCCCAGTACGTTAACCACTACTTTCTGGAGTAGTTCACCAAACCACAGTTAATTAATTTGCAGCCCAGTTTCCCAAATTAAATGCTTGGCAGCTGACTCTGTCCTAAGACCTGGAATAGATGAACTGTATTCCTGTTGGCAGTGGTTCCTGCATCCTCCTGTTGTCTCCTGGTCTAGAGCCCTAAGGTGACTGTGATGACTGAATGGAAGAAATGAGCTATTGTCCCAAAGCTGTTTGAAAAACAAAGTGGAGTCAAGAATAGCTAGACAATTAAGTATGGAATTCAGTGCAGGAATTGAGAAATAGACCCATGGAACTAGAAAGACCCCAAATGGTAACATGCATTCACAAGAAACTCATATGAGAGGAGGGGTAAATCAGCAGGGAAAGGATGCACCACTGAGTAATTGGCTGGTCCATCTGAAAAAAAATTATGCCATACCAAGACAAAACAGGTGGTTTTAAAGGCAAAACTTTAAGAAGAAGATTTAAAAGAATACTTTTATCATCTCAGGATAGTAAAACATATTAATCAAGACTCAGAAAAGACACAAATAAAAGATGAATGAATTAGTCTACACTAAAATTTAAAACTTCTCTGCAACAAAAAGTTGCTATTAAAAAGAAGCAAGCCATGAACAAAGAGAATGTACTTGCGTATATCTAGTTGTCAAGGATTGGTTCTCAGAAAAAACAGAACTGTTAGGAATTAATTTCAAAAGAGTGTAGGGCCGGCCAAGTGGTGCGATGATTAAGAACTGGCTTGGGAAGCCAGAGGGCCCCGGTTCGGATCCCACATATGAGGGCCAGTGACACTGCCCTCTACAGCTAAGATGCTGAACAACAGCTCAACCTGGAGCTGGGCTGCTGGGAGTGGCTGGAGATGGCATAGGCTGCAGCCCCTGTGGCAGTGGGTTGCCATGGGCTACCGTGTGTAGCCAGCAGCCAGCATGAGCGGCCAGCAGCCGCAGTGAGCGGCTGTCCAGAAGCCGGCGACTGAGCTGCCTCGCCCTGGAAGAGAGCAATGATGGTGCCAACTTGGGCCAGTGAAGCAACGTCCTCCACAACTAGATTGAAGAACAAAAGGACAGCAACTTGTCTGTTCCCCTTCCCCCAATTCCCCAGCACTGTTCCCATCCCCCCAATTCCCCAATAAAAAAATCTTTAAAAAACAAAACAAAAACAAAAAAACAAGATTGATTTCTATTGTGTAAATCAATAGAAAATGAGCAAGTGATGTAAACAAATTTGAAGGAATAAAATTTTGAGACTTTGGTAATTTTAAGGGAATTATTGCATTTACATATATCCTCGTTAATCTAGAGTGCATGTGTCACAGGATGCCTTGTGTATGTTAACTTATTTACTGTAAAGTGGCTCCTGCAGACTTCCTACCCACTCCCTGATTGTCACTCATTAATTTCCCCCCTTTCTCCACTGTCCTTCTGAGGACAACCAAACTGCCTTGGGCTGATGGTGCCACATCATGGTTAGAGCTGGCAGAAGTCCCCTCTATCACTTTACAACTGGTCTTTTTCAAGTAACTTTCTTTTTCAATGTACTCCTTTCCCCTTTTCTCACATCTTGTTAATATTCATACATAAAATGTATGTTTGATCCTTAGCATTACAGCTAAAATGGGTGATTCATGATGTCTTCAACCGGGTGCAGCGCTGGTCACAGGAGTAGGGTGGTTGGTGGACGGAGTCTAGACGGCTGGTGGGGCCTTCGCTCTGTGACAGGGATGACAGTAGCAGATTCAGTCGAAATGGGGGGCCGGGATGTCGAATTCAAACCACCCAGGCAATGTGAGTATCCAAGAGCTTGCCTGATTACAGAGATTAGTATGCAAGAGGCACCAAAAGTTCTGCACTTCAGTGATACTTGAGGTCAGGGGCAAACTGATTAATGGGGGTAATTATTTCCAAAAGGAGAGGAACATGGAAGCCAGGTCCCACCTTGGCTGATGAAATGGCTGCATAGAGATAATGAGGCTAACTGCCTTTGAGTCGACCTCCATCCTCCTTCCTCCTCTCCAATCCCCTCTGGGTGCTAGGATGGCCTGCAGCTGCAGACACTAGCCTCTTAGATTTGACAAAAATGGTGCAAGCTGGTCTGATTCTCAACTGCCAGGGCTCCTGACTACCATTTTCCCTGGCCCCTCAGTCTCCCTGGATATACCTTTTCGTCCTCTTTAATTAAATCTGCCTTTGCTTAAGTGCTAGTACTCAAGACAAATGAAGAATACTCAACTTTGTTTATCTCGTCCTTTAATGATTAGTAGTGTAACATTATTGACTTTTACTCTTTTTCTTTTTGTTTAGGCCAAAATGGACAGTGTTTACCTCTGTCATGGTTACATGCAGTCTTGTGAGCTGGCGTGTAGCCCTGAACAGCCGGTTCATCTCCTCTTTGGGGAAGTGAATTCTGCCTTTCAAACCACAGCCTTGCAAATTCAGGTTTGGAACACAATCCGTTTGTGAGCTGGGAACTCTGTACGAATGTCTCTTGGCCCAGGGCAGCCCCACAACCAAACGACATGTGGTTTAAGGTTCATGTAACAGCCGGCTCATTTAAATAATGTTAGCTGGAGCTCAGCTTTCAGGTTCTCAGGTTTCTGGTTCATTTGGAATAGAGGAGGCAGCAGCCATCAGAGAACAGCAATGATGAGGCTTTCCGCTCCCTATCGAGAAATAGCACATTTGGGCTCTTTGTGGGTTATCCTGCAGGTTTTCGGACTGAGCCTCTTCCGAGGGCAAGGCTTTTCAGTTCTGTTGAACAATTGATCTTGAAAAAGAACTGCTTTAAA